CATGAAGGTGATAAATTTTTGTAACCAGGTGGGGTTGAACCCTAGACCTTCTCCTGGTAACCTATGGAGCATTACCATTATGCTATAAACCCATAGGTCATGTATTGTTTTGAATTTCTTTTTCAATATTAACTAGATGTATATATATAGGCAAGTTAACATTTAACTTGTTGTTTTATATATGTAAGAGATATTGTTTTTTTCACAATGTATATCTTGTCATATATAAATTAATTAAAGAAATAATATTTACCTATGGAAAAAAAACTCTTCAAAAAAAAAAAAATAAATTATCAATAACTATTAGGGCTCCCAATAATATCGCTTCAATATTACTTTAATATCAGTTTGATACTTAAAGTTACTATAAAAACATATGAGTAAGTCACAACTCATATATTAAATTTACTATAAATCAGTACCATTTTAATATCAGTTTGATACCAGTTTGATATTTTTTGAAGCCCTAATAGTTATTAGACTGTTTATATATAAGAAATATAATTTATAATAATTAATAAAATTTATACATGTAGTGCAGTTAGTATTTATTAAAACAAAAATCAAATAATTTATTTAATTATAGATAACAATAATAAAAAATTTATTTTAAAATTTTTTACTTTTTAAAATTATAGATTTATATTAAACCATAATTTAAAATATGAATTAACAATAGTTTTTTGAAGGGAAATATAAAATAATTTTATAGATTATCTTTTTTTAAAAAACAACTTTTTATATTTTATAATTATACTTAGAAAGTTATAAGGATTTAAAAAATCTTAGATAATTAATATTAGATAATAATAGTTTTAGAAATCTATTTCGAATGTTTATATAATCTTATTGTATAAATACACCAGTATGCAGACTGATTATAAAAAGAAATTTATTATGTTCGAAATTTTTTACTTGTTAAATTACGGTGTAACCATACAAGGTCTCATGCTTGAAAACAAATAAACGGCTATCATCGGTAAGTTAGCGACCGTTACATTGTACCTTTTCTAGGTGTTATTACGAATTTCTATTGTAAGAACTAGGTGCACAATTAGACTGGTACTGATGGCTATTTTTGTATTACCAATACAGTAGCCAATTATTGTATAATGGCGTGATTTCATTTAATCACAGCGTAATTTTCCTTAAACATCAATGATTGCTTTCTCTCTAAACTTTTAGAAGTAACGCGTATCTTTCGTATTTTTGAAAAAGATACACTACCAAAGATTGATGTCGTTAAGGCTTGCTATGAGCACTATGTTGCCAGAATGGTGCAATTATGGTTCGTGACACAATTGCGTTATTGTGTACCCTTTTTTGCTTAGTTTACTATTTTTATTCGTGTAACAATATGATGATAAATAATTGGTGAAATCAACAATGCAGGCATCATTGACAACAAGAAAAAAGCTTGCGCGCATATTTTTTTTTTAAATGCTTTCTTGTTTAAAACATATCTCTTATATAATATAATATTATATAGTATCATTAAAAAAAAAAAAAATTTTTTTTTTTCATCTATTTTTGTGCGTGCATACATAATATATATATATTTCATGATGCAAGAAGAAAACCTTTTGAACAACCAACTGAACTTGTTGTCCTTTCAAGATAATACTACTGACTTGAAAGAAAAAAAATCTTTGAAATATTATTGCTATCGTCATCGGCCCGATCTACAGAAAGCAAGAAAAGGTCAAGAACCAACTATGGAAGAACTATATAAGGTTTTATAATTCTTCATATTATATTATACTACAATTTGTATCGCTTGCTCATTCACTTATTATATATTCATTAATGTTACTCTATAAACTGTTTATAGCAAGCCGAAAGGTTACCCGAGGAACAAAAAGAGGCAATTAAACATATATGGTCATATTTCTCCGCCGCTTCTTCTTCGAACCGTAACCTTATTCTCCAAGGTATCCTGAATCAATGTTGCCTTCCGCAACTATCTTTTTTGTCTCATAATCTCAGAGGCCTCATCAGGATTGATTTCATTTCTACTCTTCCTATCGAACTCGCCTTCCATGTCCTATCTTATCTTGACGCAATTTCTTTGTGTCGTGCTGCTCAGGTGAGCAAATTGTGGAGAAAGCTGGCTGATAATGACTTTATATGGCACCAATTATGTGCACAACACATTAATAAAAAATGTGTAAAGTGTGGTTGGGGCCTTCCATCCTTGTTTGAGAGAGGGTTTAGCAGAGAACGTTCTTTCGCGCCCTTATCATGTTATACTCCCGACCGACCTCGATCACTACCGTCATCTCCACCTTCATCACCTTCAACCACCTCACCATCTACACCGAACGCTTCAGGTTATGATTCACAAGACGAGTTTCGTGAGCCTGTACGTACCCGTGCTTCTTATAACAGGTCAACGACTTTTCTTCCTGATATGTTGTCGTCACAAATAGTTCCCGAGAATCATCAGACGCAATCTTGGAAACAAGTTTATGCTGAGCGCCAAGTCGTAGAACGTAATTGGCGAAAGTGTCGTTGCAGAACACGTGTGTTGAAAGGTCATAGCGATGGTGTAATGTGTCTGCAATACGATGATTGTAATAATATTCTTATTACCGGCTCCTATGATACAACTGTTCGCGTGTGGAACATAGATAGCGGTGAAGTCATTCGGGTATTTACGGGACACACGCGGTGTGTACGTGCTTTACAATTTGATGGCAAAAAACTCATTACTTGTTCCATGGACCATACCTTGAGAGTGTGGAATTTCCATACTGGAAAGTGCTTAAGGGTACTTGAAGGTCACACAGATGGAGTTTTAAGCCTTCACTTTGATGATAATATTCTTGTCAGCGGTTCTGCTGACAATAATATAAAAGTATGGAATATTCATACATGCGAATGTTTCACCTTGGTTGGTCATCAAGAATGGGTAAATCGTGTGGTAATCTATAAAAAGACAAAGTTATTTTCCTGTTCTGATGACCACACTATAAGGGTCTGGGATTTGAAGTCAAGAGTATGTACACGTGTTATTGAGGGTCACAACGCGCCAATTCAATGTATCCAACCAGCTTATTCACTGATGGCTTCTATTAATAAGAAAGATTTGGATAAAATTCAAGATCCAATGAAAGAAGACCCCGAACCACATCCCGTAATAATTTCAGGTGCCTTGGATAATATTATTAAGATATGGTCTATTCAAACGGGAGAATGTCTTAGGACCCTGTTTGGTCATGAGGATGGTGTATGGTCATTGGCTGTGGATAAATTACGTTTGGTCAGTGTATCCCAAGATCACACAGTCAAGATTTGGGATAAAGATTCTGCTGATGGATGCCTGCACACTTTGCATGGTCATTGTGGCGCAGTTAATTGTGTTGCTCTGGGAGAAACCAAAATAATCACAGGTGGTGAGGATGCAGAAATAAGGATCTGGGATTTTAAAGCCTAATAATTATAAGCTTTATCCTTCTACTTATATGTAAAATTTACTATTTTTTTTCTTGTTTTTTGGTTGTTTGAAAGTGGGAAATGTATTATCATTTAATTTACATTAGAATTGAAAAAAATATTGTGTATAATTTAATGTCAAAATAAAAAAAAAATGTACGCTTCGCAAATTAATATGATTTGTTGTGATTTTGAATTTTTGAATTTTATGCACATTGTCAGATAAAGGTCTGGCCGAGAAATAATTATTATAGAAGTTTCAACACGTTTTTCCGTCAAGTATAAGTTGATATTACAATGGTTTTCACCCTTACTTTATAACAACAATTTATACAATTTATAAATATGTTCCATTTGATATTTAATTAAGTTCCAAAAATTAAAATTGCATGGATTGACTTACATGCATATTTAAAAACCATTATGATCTGCATTTATAGGATTTGAAAAATTGAAACAAGAAAGATGATTTCAACCATTCGATAAATAAAAACAATAATAACATATATATTATTTCTAAATTTTACAATTATTAATGATAGATAGCTAGATGCAGTATACAGTATACTTTATAACATAATAACTAATTATTGTATTTACGTATTTATTATTTATTTATTATTTATTTGTTATATTTGATATATAAATAATAATCACCTTTTTTTTAAATTAATATATTTTCATATTTGTACCCAATTCACATTACAAACAAATAAATAATTTATCAATAATAAACAATTATAATTAATAAACCAATTTTTAGGAAATATACGATATAATGTCAAATGTAAATATTTTAAATATATACCTAATTTTATCTGATGAATTTAGTATTAAGATTTAAAGATTGAATATTAACAATAATTAAAATATAGGTTGATAGTTAAAAAAATATAAGAATATAAAATATCATGCGTTTCTGCTTGTATATAATTATTTTTTTTTTAAAAGATTATTGCAATTGATTAGATCATTTATACATTTTACTAATAAATTAAATAATTTTTATATTAGATAATGAAAAATCCTCTATTGCGTTTTTTTTTATTTAAAATCCTTTTTTATTTTTTTTTAGTTTAATAATAGTATTTTCTCAAGATTGTTATTAGTTTATCGATTATTTTCCTTCGATTTCGTCACATATCACGTGATTTTAAATAGTGCAACAGTAAACAGCGGCCACACACACAAATCTTTAGCTTTTCCTAAAACCAACTGTGTTAGAACAAGGTAGATCCTTCACGCAACTTAAATTCAAAGATTTAAAATTTGGTGAAACTTAGCTTGTCGGGGCCAGCGTAGAGATGTCGCAACAAAATAATCAAAATTTGCCCCCTTCAAATTTACCTAATGCGCAACCGACTGCCGACGATGCTAGTAATACGACGGACGATCAGCCTCCGCAAACTTTACAGGAAAACCGACCGCGAGCTCAACAACTTCCGCAACGAACACAATCCTTATCGCAGGCGCAAGGATCAGCGTTACCTCAATCAAACGTCGCTCAGCAACAATCAGCGACTCCCCAAATACAGCCGGCTCCCAGTCCAAATGTGAGGTCGCCATCTGTGGCTCTAAGGGGTGGCGCAAAGAAGAAAGTTGCTGCTGGAAATAAAAAGACAACCGGTGTTCGCCCTAAGCCAATAACAACTGAGAAAAATGATGATATGGGATTACCTCAGGCATTGAGTAAAATGGCCGAGGACTTTCTCAATCAGGCCAATCAGTATGGGAAAGATACTCTGGAAGGTCAAGCAGCTTATAAAAAGTACGTAGATTCGATGCAGGCTTTGGAACAGCATAAAAGGAATAATCAACTCGGTAATTTTTCGTTTACTCCCCAACAAACTACATCACCAGCATCCACTCCTTCCCCTCACCAAATGCCCCGAATTATTTCATCAACAGGACCCTCGCCTTTAGCATCGCAACAACCGAGGCTTTTATTAAATTCAGATTATAATAATATACAAAGTTTTCAACAATTAAAAAGTGAAATGAGTAGGATCAATAGTTTATTGACACAAGAAAATTTAACACCTAATAGTAAAACGGATTTGTTGAATCGAATGAACACGTTAAATCAATTATCCATCGTAAAATTCGGAACTAGCGCAAACGCTGGACCCATGCAGCATATGTCACCTCAGTCACCCTATAATTCACCTAGAAGTTACATGGGAACGCAAGGTTCGTCCACAAATATTGTCACTCGGTCATTCTCTAAGGGGTGGCCACCATCAATGATTATGTTAAAACTTTTGCATCATGGATGTTAACACTTCATTCTTATAAATGATATCAATTCTGATAAAGGCAATGATTATAGAATGACAGCTGCTCCATCTCAATCGCCATCTTCTCCTCTCGCGAATTCCAACAGCGTTTCCTCAAGTCATGCGCCAGACACTTCAATTATAACATCACCTAATCTACAACAGCAACAAGCAATGCAACAACTTCAACAATATCAACAATCACTCAATAATCCCCAATCGCCTAGTTCACAACAGCC